TCCAGATTACAGGGACGGCGGGACATGGCATCAGCATTTCCATGACTACTACCTTTGCGATGTTCTATAGAGAAGTCGTAACTTTTTAGTCTCTCAATCCACCGTGCCAACTGTTCTTCAGGGTTCCTGAATTGTAGAAGCCATTTTAATGCTGCATGATCTGTCCTCACCCGAAATCGCTGGCCATAAAGGTACTTATGAAAAAGTTTGATGCACTTCACCAACGCCAGTAATTCCCTCTGAGTAACACAATAATTTCTCTCTGGCTTGCTTATGGTCTGGCTGTAATACGCAACCACTTTCTCATGCCCATCAATGACTTGTGATAGAACGCCTCCTACTGCAAATCCACTAGCATCCGTATCCAAAATAATTTGATCCTGGGACCGAGTATGCCAACATTGGCGTAGTACTTAACGGTTTCTTCAGAATTTGGAAAGGCACTTCCTGTTCTTTATTCCATTTAAAAACTCTGTTCTTTTTCGTGAGTTCATGGAGGCTACTAGCTACGCTGGCAAAATTTGGATCGAATCGTCTATAATAAGTACATAGTCCAAGGAAACTCCGCAATTCATGTAAATTTTTAGGAGTAGGCCAATCTCTTACTGCCTCGATCTTTTCATTAGCTGTGCAAATGCCCTCCGTTGTCGCTTTGTGTCCTAAATAGCTTTCTTCCTTTTTGAAAAGGGAACACTTCTTTGGACTCAGCTTCAGACGAGCGCTAGCTATCTGTTGGAAAACCTTTTCCAAGTTCTTAAGGTGTTCATCGAAGCTTTTACCCAACACGATAATATCGTCGAGGTATACCAAACAGGTCTTTCAGTGTAATCCTTTTAATGCCTGGTCCATAAGTCTCTCAAAAGTAGCAGGAGCTTTACATAATCCAAAGGGCATTACGGTAAATTGCCATAGACCATCTCCAACGCTGAAAGTCGTCTTTTCTTTGTCTTCTTTGTTTACCTCCACCTGCCAATAACCACTTTTTTAATCAAGTGTTGAGAACCAATTTGTGCCTGATAACGAGTCAAGTGTGTCATCGATTCTAGGTAGTGGATAACTGTCTTTCTTCGTTACATCATTCAACCTTCTATAGTCCACACAAAATCTCATGTTGCCATCTTTCTTCTTCACAAGTACTACAGGTGAGCTCCACGGACTCTCTGATGGTTCGATTACGCCGCTTTCGCTCATTTCACGTATGGTCTGGCTTACAACTTCACGTTTTGCTAAAGGAATGCTCCGACGAGCCTGCCGGATTGGTCTTGCATCACCTGTGTTAATAAAATGTTTCACAACTTTGGTTCTTCCTGGTTTGGCATCGTCTTTATCAAATATGGATGAGTATCTGAGAAGAAGTTTTTAGCCGTAGTTTGATAGTTTGCCTCTAGTTCCTCGGTCCATGCGTTAATTTCGCTCGATATATCGTTTTCCTCCATGGAATCTTCCTCAAGACCTATTTCGCAATTTATTACGGCCAGAATCTCTTGACACTGCCCTAATACAACTCCTTTGGAGAGTTTGATTGGTAACTTGCACTCATTAAGTACTCTTACTGGAACACGTTTATCTTGTCTTGTCATAGCCGGGGTTTTCCTATAAGTAAGTTTGGTGTAGATTATTTTGTGGCCTCAACAATCCACCACTTGTTTGACCCATAGTCTCCATCTATTTCTGCCAAAATAACTGCTTCTGATGTTGGTGGAATCTGCTGGCTCTCTGTTGTTATCACTCGTTTAACGTTGTACTTATTATCGTAACCGAACATAAGTGGCACATCCATATTTCTATAGGACATAATCCTGTTTTTCATGTCAATTTTTGATTCCTGGATTCGCTAGAAAGTCTACTCCAATTAGGACTTCGTCAACGATATCTGCCACTATACAATTGTGTAACACGGCTGCCTTTCCAATTACGATCTCGTACGTTGCCTTTCCGAGAACTAGGGTATCTTCTCCAGTTCCAGTACGCAACTTTGTCCCAGCTAATGGTCTCACTTTTTTCTCAACCAGATCAGATCGAATTATGGAATGTGATGCGCCCGTATCCACAGTCAGTATGCGCTTTTTACCGTCTACACATCCACTAACGGTAACGTTACTCGTATTCCTGCTTATTTGTGAAATGGAGATAAGAGGGCATTTGCTTGCGGGAGCCTTTAGTTTAACGATTGGTTTGATTTGACATTTGCTTGATCTTCGTCAGCTTTGCGTTTACGTCCAACTGGATTATTGGGCTGGTTACAGTTGCGTGCAATATGTCCACTTTTTCCGCAGTTGAAGCAATTAAGCACACCATCATTTTTCTTATGCGCTTCCGTACATTTTTCTAGTGCTTTCTGTATGTTGTCAATTTTTTCAAGTAATTGGTTCACGCAAGTGTGTTTCTCTATTTCTACTTTGTGAGCTTTAAATGTTTGAATGCAAAGTAGAGATGCTGCTTCCTGTGGCAGAGCATACGAAACGGATTCCATGGATTTATGTGCATAAGCTAAGTGAGCTAACCTCTCAATCTCTGTAGAAAACTCCTGCAGAGACTCATGGGCTTTCTGGCGGCGATTTCGCAACTCGATTTGAAAGATCTGCTTCCTGTGTCTTTCTAATGCACCCATCAACGTTTCATAACTACTCGCCTCGCAGTTTGGAATGGTCTGTAATATCTCTGCTGCAGATCCTTTTAATGCAACGAACAATGCAGCTACTTTATTTTCAGCGTTCCAATTATTTGAAGATGCCGTCTTTTCGAATTGAAGCTTAAAAACGTGGAACGAAACAGTGCCATGAAAGGATGGAGGTTTTACCTTGGCAGAAGCTGACCACATAATTGGCCGATTTAATTGTAGCTCACGGAGACGATCTCTCAATTCATCCACTTCAGTTTTAATTTTATCCCGCTCTTCCGAAATCTGTGAGAACACTTCTGCTATTTGTGAGGTCACTTGCGATATCCGTGCATCCTGCTCTTTCAACTGTGAGGACACCTGTGCTGATATTCGTGCATCTTGCGCTGCGAACTGGCCTTTTAACTGTAAGGATACCTGTGCTGATATACGTGCATCTTGCGCTACGAACTGCTCTTCCAAATGCGTTGCCAATCGTGTATCCTGCTCTTTAAATTGTGTCGACATTTGCGTTGACATCTCTTTCCCCATCTGTGATATTGCAGCAAAAATCATGTTTATGTCCACAATCTTTGACGAGCATTGAGCTTCTTCCTTTTCTTCTATCTTTGTTGTCTCTTCCTCTAATTCCATGTGAAAGACATATTCCTCAACATTAATGTTTTCCGCCTCCATGGCCCCTCTTAACCGTGATTGTAATTCAGTTTTTAATCCATTTGTCGCCAAACCACGTTACTCCAGCTCCTTTTTCAGTTGTGGAATCTTCAGATCGTTAAACTTGGCCATTTTCAAATAATTATCTCCTTGGGAATTTATTTGACAATCCCACTTCTGACACCAATTGTAACGAATTTCTCGATAAATCGTCTAACTATAACTCACTCTTGAACTCGACCACTGGATTGTTAAATTAAAGTCCCAATTTAATGCTATACACTTATCTTTATTTCCAATTCCAACAACTTAACTTAAGCGAGCAATAAGTCGCTATTCGAACTTACAACTTATTGCTTATAGATTAATTACTCTTTACACGGCAGCCCTTATATAGTAAATTTTTAACAAAAGTTCGCTACTAGAACTGGCAACTACGAATTCGCTGTCTAGTTGCCTCTGGCAGTTTATCGTCAATCTGATATGTTCTGGTACTCGTGTTCGCCATACTGCTCTCTACCTAAGTCTGATCGTCCCGATTAGACATATTTTCGGTACCAAACGCTGCAAGCCGTTCCAGATGAACCACCTTCATTTTATTCCTTGGTCTTCCAATGGTCTGTATGCGATACACTACATCATTGAGTCGTTTAATAACCTGGTATGGTCCTTCCCAATTACACAGTAATTTGGGAGACAGCCCTTTCTTTCGTTGTAGGTTATATAACAATACCCAATCGCCTTCAATAAAACCGTCAGAGTTTNCGTGATTGTAATTCAGTTTTTAATCCATTTGTCGCCAAACCACGTTACTCCAGCTCCTTTTTCAGTTGTGGAATCTTCAGATCGTTAAACTTGGCCATTTTCAAATAATTATCTCCTTGGGAATTTATTTGACAATCCCACTTCTGACACCAATTGTAACGGATTTCTCGATAAATCGTCTACCTGTAACTCATTCTTGAGTTCGATCACTGGATTGTTAAATAAAAGTCCCAATTTAATGGCTACACACTTATCTTTATTTCTAATTCCACCAAATTAACACTTATTGCTCGTTATGCAAGCTTACAACTTCTTACTTATAGCTTAATTGCTCTTATCACGACAACACTCTAACTAGAACTGTGTTTGCTGCACAATCCGGCAGCCCTTATATAGTAAATCTGTAACAAAACATTGCTTCTAGAACTAACTATTTTACTACTAGAACATTCTGGCAACTACGAATTCGCTGTCTAGTTGCTTCTGGCAATTTATCGTCGATTCGATTTTGTTCTATCATCCGTGTTCGTCACACTATTTTTAAAACTTTGTGCAGCAAACACAGTTCTTAAGTTGTTGTTAACACTTATTGCTCGTTATTCGAGCTTACAACTTCTTGCTTATAGCTTAATTGCTCTTATCACGACAACACTCTAACTAGAACTGTGTTTGCTGCACAATCCGGCAGGCCTTATATAGTAAATCTGTAACAAAAAATTGCTTCTAGAACATTCTGGCACATAAGTGTTAAGTTGTTGTTAACACTTATTGCTCGTTATTCGAGCTTACAACTTCTTGCTTATAGCTTAATTGCTCTTATCACGACAACACTCTAACTAGAACTGTTTTTGCTGCACAATCCGGCAGGCCTTATATAGTAAATCTGTAACAAAAAATTGCTTCTAGAACATTCTGGCAGCTACGAATTCGCTAACTAGTTGCTTCTGGCAGTTTATCGTTGATTCGATTTTGTTCTATCATCCGTGTTCGGAACAATATCAATAACTGAAATCACAGATAACAAAAAATCGCAATATCGCTCATCACTAGTATTTGCCATCGATAGTCAAAATAATTTATCAATAGTGAGACGAAACTAAAATTATCGATAATATCGACCTTCGCATCGATTGTTTTGTAGCTCTATGGTAGAGCCTCTATCACACGGAAGGAACTTGTGCAAAAGCGCCACAGAATTGTTTATATGAAATATTAAGTAGCCGGTTTATTTTGTGTGCAATATCTATAAATAAGAAATGGCTATTTCTCGACCGGGTATGCTAAATACATAAGTGTTTTGGAAGTTTACAAGCTGTATAAAATGTTTTGTTATAGATGAGGTATATCACTTTTCTAATAATCTGCCAATTGAGGTTTCATACAAAAACTCTATAACATACTCGAACTGCAACTCTTATGACCCTAGAGTTATTGCACAAGGATATGTTTGGAATCAAATTGTGGTTCAGCACAGTGGAAAATTCGTTGGACGGGATAGCATGACAGAAATATTGCAAGTAATTTTTGAAGCTGTCGAAGGAGAAGAGCTTTTTCCTGTAGCATATCGGGTAAATAGTTTCTAAATTAACGGCCTAACCAAAATTCATCACGATATCGCTTTTTGAAATTATTTTATAAAAAAAATTGGGGAAAACTTTAGTATAACGTCCCACGCTTTCGGGGATAAAATGGATATGGGCGGATAGAGGAGATCCTCCAGATCAAGAATATATATAGATATAGCCGCGGGAAACTTATAGTTTTCGAGATATTTATGTTCAAAACATCAGTGTTGCCATACTAATATATTTTGTAAACGAAGAAAAATAAAATAAACAGAGAGATTGTACCCTAGATACAAGAAACAACGCAAAAAGAATTTCTGCGCGTAAAAACTTTGGTACACCCCGGTTTTGGATCGACCAGGGTTATTTTTTTTTAAGCGCGGCCGAAGGACGCCACCGCAAAAAAACCTTGATACACCCCGGTGTTGGATCGACCAGGGTTATTTATTTGAAGCGCAGCCGAAGGCCGCCAACGCAAAAAGGAGTTCTGCGCAAAAAAACCTTGATACACCCCGGTGTTGGACCGACAAGGTTTATTTTTTTAAAGCGCGGCTGAAGGCCGCTAACGCAAAAAGAAGTTCTACAAGAAAAAAGTAATATTGTCATAGAGGGTATAACATAATACTTAACATCAATGCTTTGTAATAGTTTATTTCTCTAGGTATTGGTTTCCTGTATTTGGGGTATTATCTGTTTTAATTTCTTTCAGTTCAATTACAAAAGATGTGGATAAGGTAACACTGGTTATTTGAAATTTTGCAACCCTTTTGTTATTGTCAGAATTAATAGAAGTTAACAATAATTTAATTATTGAATTAAACTATTTTTGCATTATATAATGTAAAATAAATGTGTACAAACGAATTAGTGAAGTGTTAGTGGATATAAAAGTGTAAAATATAAGTGTATAACTCATTTGAAATGGAAAAAATGCGTACTTTAAATAGTCGAAATTTTGAACTTTAAACCCAAATATCTCGAAAACTATAAGTTACCCGCGGCTATATCTCTATATATTCTTGATCTGGAGGATCTCCTCTATCCGCCCATACCCATTTTATCCCCGAAAGCCTGGGACGTTATACTAAAGTTTTCCCCAAGAATATATAGATATACCTACGAGAAACTTGTTTTTCGATATATTTACGTTTAAAGTTGAAAATTTCCACTATTTAAAGTGGGTATTTTTTCGATTTAAAATGAATTATACACTCGTATTTTTCACTTTTATATCCACTAACACTTACCTAATTCGCGTGTAGACATTTATTTTATATTATATGATGCTAAAAGAGCTTTATTTCAATATTTAAATTATTCTTCAATTCTATTAATTTTGACAATAACAAAAGGGTTGTAAAACCAGTGTTGCCATACTAATAAATTTTGCAAACGAAAATAATCAAATAAAACAAGTAAGGACGGGCTAAGTTCGGATCTAACCGAACATTTTATACTCTCGCAAAGTCAAATGGTATACTCGTTTTAGATTTCTTTGTGGATCTTGGACTTGTTCTATGTTGACCGATATTTTCGGTAAAAAGTCAACTATAGGCACTGGGGTCCACATATTCAGTACTTAGGGGCTTGAACAGTTTTGATTCAATTTAGATAATTTTTGGTCACAAGGTGGCATACTTTAAACGCATTATTCACGCAAAGTCACCCGATTTCACCCATTTTCACACTGTCGGTAGAGGTGCTAAAAACATTTGCTTCAAATTGAACAATCATTGAAACTAATAACGGATTGATTTCTGGGTTATGTGCAGACTGCCGAAATTTGCATACAGTAAATTATAATTGAGATTCGTTAATTGTAAGTTTGCTTTCAGAACAATAAAGGTATTCTGGGAGGTTCTTCAGATTAAATATGTACACCGATACCTCCAGATTCTGATCGCCATCATCCGAAAGTCGTTTCGCGGAATTGGATTCTCAACGCTCCCCTCGTCTACATCATATTATTACATATTATATAACATTTTTATTATAATTTTAAATAAACTTGTTTAACCGAAATGGTCAAAATAATAATTATATTATATACTAACTTTAACGAAAACTTTTATTTTAAAATTTGAATAAAATAAGAAAGGTGTGTGCTTCCCAATAAATTTGTTATGCAAATAAACATGGTCCTTCGAGCCTTACCGAAAGGCACCTCGGAAAATTAACAAAAATATACACATATATGTACTTATGTATAACCAGTGCGGGGTTATAAAGTTCAGTGACCCAAAAATATAGAATATATAGTGGTACATACAACATACATATTAATAAATATGCATTCAAATAAGTGCAAATTAGGATCTCAAACCACAAAATAAAACAAACAGTGTGAAGTGCAGTGACACAAAAAAAAAGAAAATATATAAACAAAAAAACATAAATATATAAAGTGCGTGTAGCCTTAAAATAAAAACAACAACAAATACAAAAGGGTTCAAACAAACAAAAAACACATCGGCGCGAAATGTAAAAGCATCTCAACAATAAAACATAAACAAAAACAAAACAAACGGGCGCGATCCTCAACATACAGCTGTGTTCACAAAAAATAGCAGTGCGAGAAATGCAATCAAGTAATGTTATTTTTTTCAAGTTCCGTTACGATTATTCCAACGTCTACGCATTGTTGTCGTAGAATGGAATGTGTATAAGGAAGAAACGAAAAATCCCGTTAGATTTGCGAGATTTAAGCAAATGAACAACTCTTTTTGCTAGAAGCACCAGTCTTTGGCTGTTCATTAAATTAGCAGTGCGTATCTTGATAAGCCAAAAAATTTTGTTAAGACGTTTAATTGAGAAAAAGTAAGTGGTTGTGTGTTAGTGACTATATTTAACATTAGAAACACTAAAATAAATTATATTTTTAACTTAGTGGGCAGGGGCAAACATTGTACTCCTGAAAAATAAATATTATAGTGCAACTAAGAAACCTGGGAAAGACATCCAAGAAATATGTGGATGTTCTGCTAAATGATTCATAATGCTTTAAACTTTAAAGAAATGCCGAAAATCGTGGTATCCAACGTAAAAGCACACTCATGAGGACCGATCTATTGTGCGATATAGCAGGGCGCAGCCTTTTGCATCGTCCAGCAAGATAAAAATGACTTAAGCTTGAATGTTATGGCGTTACTATTCGGCGACGTCTTAAAGAACAAAATCTCAAAGTGTGCCATTCACGAAAAGTTCCACTGTTAGCCACCAAACATGTCAAAGCACGTTTGGAGTTCGCCAAAAGTCACCTTAATTGGCCCATTACAAAGTGGCGAAATATTTTATGGAGTGACGAAAGTAAGATTGTGTTATTTGGTGGAAAGGGCTTCAGACAATATGTCAAACGTCCACCTAACACAGAGTACGATCCTAATTACACTTTGAAGACAGTTAAACACGGCGGATTGAGTATTATGGTATGGGCATGTTTTTCTTACAGTGGAGTGGCCCTATATTCATGATTGATGGGATCATGGATCGATCTGTATATGTTAACATATTAGAAAATGTTATGTTTCCTTGTGCCAATTGGGAAATGCCACTAAAATGGACGTTTTAAAAGATAACGACCCAAAACATACAAGCAAACTGGTCAAAAGTTGGATGGCATCAAAGCGGATCGATATTATGTCATGGCCTGCGCAGTCTCCGGATTTAAATCCAATTGAAAACCTATGATGTTAAACGATATGTGCAAATGCAAATCCAACATCTCGATCACAGCATTGGGAGTTGTTCAAAATCATGGGAGCGGATCCCTGTCAAGCGCTGCCAGGACTTGGTGGATTCTATGCCTCGCAGTTGCCAGGCCATAATAAAAAATAATGGGTACACGACTAAGTACTAACCCAAGCAAACAAATTAAAATAGTTTTTTGGAGTTCAACGATGTTTTTTTCAACTAATTCCACTGTTTTCATTACTCACTGCTATTTTTATGAACAGCTGTAAACAGCACTTTTTTGTTTAAATTAATAATGTAAAAAAAATTAACAACATTTTGAATAATAAATTGATGTGTTTTTGTTTAAAATAATCACAAAGTTAAAACAAAATTAAATTTGTGAACATTCATTTACTTTTTATACTCTCGCAACCTGTTGCTACAGAGTATAATAGTTTTGTTCACCTAACGGTTGTTTGTATCACCTAAAACTAATCGAGTTAGTTATAGGGTTATATATATATAAATGATCAGGATGAAGAGACGAGTTGAAATCCGGGTGACTGTCTGTCAGTCCGTCCGTCCGTGCAAGCTCTAACTTGAGTAAAAATTGAGATATCTTTATGAAACTTGGTAGACATGTTTCTTGGTACCGTGAGACGGTTGGTATTGCAGATGGGCGTAATCGGACCACTGCCACGCCCACAAAACGCCATTAATCAAAAACAAATAACTTGCCATAACTAAGCTCCGCAATAAGATACAAGACTGTTATTTGGTACACAGGATCACATTAGGGAGGGGCATCTGCAGTTAAAACTTTTTTTTAAAAAGTGGGCGTGGTCCCGCCTCTAATAGGTTTAATGTGCATATCTCCTAAACCGCTAATGCTATAATAACAAAAATCACTAGAAGCAAATGTTTTTAGCACTTCTATTGACGGTGTGAAAATAGGGTGGCAACTCCGCCCACTCCCCATATAACGGTACTGTTAAAACCTACTAAAAGCGCGATAAATCAAGCACTAAACACGCCAGAGACATTAAATTTTATCTCTGGGATGGTATGAGATGACTTTATAGGAACCGCATTCAAAATTAGACAGTGGGCGTGGCACAGCCCACTTTTAGGTGAAAACCCATATCTTGAGATCTGCTTAACCGATTTCAACCAAATTCGGTGCATAACGTTCTTTTCATGTTTCTATGTCATAGTGCGAAATCGGACTGCAACCACGCCTACTTCCCATATAACACCATTTTAAATTCTATCTGATTCTTTCACTTTCCACTATGTAAATCAGGCAACAACGACTGTATCGGGATAAAACTTGCGTGAATAATGCGATTAAAGTATGCCACCTTGTGGCCAAAAATTTCTAAATCGAACCAAAACTGTTTATGCCCTAAGTACTAAGTATGTGGACCCCAGTGCCTATAGTTGACCTTCTGCCGAAAATATCAGTCAATCCACAAATAAATCTCAAACGAGTATACTATTTGACTTTGCGAGAGTATAAAATGTTCGGTTACATCCGAACCTAGCCCTTCCTTACTTGTTGATATATAAAATTAAGTAGTGTAGGTGTAGCTACATACTCTTATGGATACCTACTATATACTCGTAGACATTGCTCCGCGTCGTTGATAGCAACAACAAATCGAGGCAAGTCATACTGAGCCATCAAACACGCCTACGAATGCAAGTGAAATTGGTAAGAAAGTTGTTTGTGTGTGTGTGTGTGTGTGTGTGTGTATCAGCATGTTGCTGCAACAATAGTGTCGCCCGGTCCGCCCGCTGCATGCGAGTGTGTGCAATAGCGAGCGTTAGTTCCAACTTTTATCGCACGGATCCATCAGCTCATGAGCACTGCTATTTTTATGAACACAGCTGTATATACATGAAAGTGTGTGCATCAAAAACAAAATACATACAATTATAAAGCGATTTTAATGAACAAGAACAACTTAAAGAGGTCGCGAAACTAAAATAATCGGACGCGATCATAAAAATAACAATTTAACACGCATAAGGAGCTAGCCAGCTGGATGCCGAAAAGGACAGACACGTGAACAAAACGCAGAAGGCATAAAGGCAGCATATATATATACATAAACCCTCCACAAAATACCCTACAAAATCAATCATTTCACTTTTATTTATTTTTGCACATATGTTTATCGAAAAGATACAGTTTATCTTTATATAAACTTTTATATTATATGTATATGTATCCACATACATATTATGAAACATTAATAACAATAAATAATAATTTTTTGTTAACATACGCTTACCTTCGTATATTTAGCCACACAAAATTCAACAACAAAAAAATATATAAATATAAGTAAACATACAAACATATATGCATACTTTAGTGCAAAAATATATGTACTTATTCATAATCAGTACATATATTCTTTATACATATAATTGCCAAGCGCAATATATACCATATATGTATATACATTTCATATATTATATATTCACAACTGAAATTTAGAAACTGCAAACTATATGGTACATACGTGACAAATACAAATTTGCACAATAAAATATTTACCTATAGCCAAGAGGGTAAACTACCTGCGCATTATCAATTCTCTGTTTTCGCTTTATTCGTACCGCGAAAATAATACATATTTACCATATTTATACATACGGCATAAAATCTATGCCTATGCTTATATACCCTACATACATTTCATAAATATATACTAACAAGTCCGTGTATTAGGGTGTACCTAAATACATCAATATAAGGACATACAAAATATTATTAAATTAAAAGTGCGATTTTTATCAATTAAATTAAATTAAGCAATATATTCAAAATAAAACCACAACGAAATCATATTTTTTTTACCATAAATTTAAAAAAAAAATTTTTTTTTTACCATATTCCATTTTCTATTAATATTTTCCGAAATAAACGCCTGCTACAAAGTAGTTGTATTTTTTTGATACTCTAGTCCGCCCCACTTATTGAAGATTGACAACACTTCAACCGATTTTTTTTGACGAGGTGTGTTGATGTCGACAGTACCAAATTTCAAAACTTCAAACAAAATACAGTTGGGTTGGAAACCGTTATAGGGGCTTTAATCTCATAAGCTGAGATCGCTTGACTATCGCTTAGTAGTTGTTGTAGCGGCAGAAAACTAAAACTCCTACATTAAATTTGAAGAATGCGGCCGAGTTGACAGTCCTGTGCCGGATAAAAATCCGAGTCCGTTCCGATTACGTAGGCCTGACTCTCGTGGTAACGGATAACAATATGTTCATTGCCATTGTTGCGTTGCAAAAATTCTGTTTGGAATATACTCGCAAAACATCCTATAGTTGATGTCATACCGAATTATGTGATGTTTTCGATGTCCATGCGACCTGTTGATACTTAGCTTACGGCCCCAAAATATACCGGTCAGGCCTTTGTATACCATGACTGATTTTGTGGCTTTAATTACAGTTAGTTCCACATGTTAGTCCCACCGAAGTGTGGTTCTAGTGTAAGGTTTAGGTATTTGACTTCATTAGTCATCATTAACTCTCTGCATCTAATAGTTAGGGTCCTTAGGCCCAGTGATAGTCGTTTTCGATGGGTTAATGTTTAGCCCAGTCGTACTACTTTATGTTTTTTTTTAGACCTAAACCCCTTTTGACAATATCGAAAAGAGTGTTTTGGAACGATGCCCATTGTTATTTAGCAACTCGAAAAGCTCGTCTCCGACAAGGCTCGATAATAAGGGAGGCAGTACCCCGCCATAAGAACATTTTGAACACTTGATTCAGTCTGCAGTGAATAAATCTTAAGCAACGATCTGGCTTATGTGCGGCCACTGGTGGAATTTGGTCGTACCGAACTGTAAACAAGCAGGAGTGTCCTTGCTATTCTTCTACGCTGGTCGTATAGGCCCCATCAGATAGCTTGATTGCTAATACTATGTTAGTCTTACTTTTGGCCAGAACCTATTGTACCTGACTGCATCTAGGGTTCAGGACACATTTTCACAGAATCTTCGAAAACTGTTTTGTTTTGCAGGCTTAATTCCTTTATTATTCGTTGTTATGTGATGCTTATATTCCTCGCAGTTACCAATACACTTGGCTTTGTTAAATAGCCTATGAACTGATTTCCTAAGCTCTGAAAGTGTTGGACCACCAATGACAGATTTGCTTTTTGGTGTTGGCCTTTGGTGTGCAGTTGCAATGTTACGCATCCATGATGAACTGGTTAGTCGCAAACAAAAACAGTTAGGAGGCCGTAACATTGCTATATATATGTTATAAAGAAAACATTTCCGACTTCTTAAAAATGTTTTACCATGATTTCTCACTGAATTTATTTCACTTTCGTCCGTCCAAAGCAACTTTTTGACGTTTTGAGCATCTCATCGATCTTCGTAAGATTTTGCAAACAATAATCGTTGGCTTCCATGTCTATAAGTCAGTATTGCAACCCCTTGCTGTAATGCTATTGCTGCAGATATTTTAAAAGGACCTGGCGTTGATGTTATTTTTATAAGGTCAACATATATTTTTGTCGTTTTACGTGACTATAGATTTTACGATCCTGTTTCGAAAAAGCCCTAGCACGTCCCATATTTAAACAGCTTTGTGGAAATTAACTGCTTATTATACAAATACAAACCTGAAATATACGGAAATATAGAATATTAATAATCTTCTGGGTGGGAATTTTTTATAAACATAAATTAAACAAGACAGAAATTTTTTAAGTATTTTTATTAAGCTCAGAATGAATTGTGTAATGTCCAATAATAATATCTGTAAATCCAATTAGTGGCACTTATTCTTTTATAAGGTTATTGCCAGCCTCAGGATATATACGGTTCTTAAAGAATTTTAGTATTAAAAAAAATTTTAAGTCAGTTAGATTAATAATATTTTTTAATATAATAGCGCGGGGTAAAAGACGATCGTTTTCTCGTGCGGAAGTGCAAAGGGGCTATAAATAAACTGTTTGAACATAATCTTCGTGTTCAGCTTTCTGATGCTTCTTTTGTACAGCTCCAAGTACATTTTAATGTAGGTGATTTTAAGTTTGGACAAATATCACCACATGCTAAGCTTGCGGAAGCACTAAACCGCCTTTATACTTGCATGGAGCGGGTAAATGGCGTAGTTGGTATATTAAATTTATGCCGCTTTAATACCCAGAAGGAACTTTGTGATTTAGTTGTTAATTTGGGTAATCGTGCTGTGCTTGAGACTATTTGTAATTTAATCTATCGCAATGATGACAAATTTCGCTTAGTGAATGGATTGATCCTAAGCGATAACGGCATCACAACTGTAGCACCTCTGGCAGTTTTTGCTGGTGCTGAATTTGTGGTTTTGGATTTAAGTAAAAATAAGGTAAAAACTTAAATGAAATTAAATAAAGTTTGTAATAAAATTTAAAAGCTGTTTACAGATTACTTCGTCATCGCGTTTATGCCGCGATTTAAGCGAAGTGAAAGCAGACGAATTGTTGCTAGCTGGTAACCCGATCACGAGTGGCAACAATTATCCAGAGTGTCTACGGCCTATACAAAAAAATTTTAAAATAATTGTAAGTTCGTGCAATAAACACATTTATTTATAAAACTTGTGAATATTATGTTGAAGGATGGTATACCGGTCGAGAATTTATCGAAACTCTATTCGCCTTTGGACTACGAAGTAGACATCAACAGGAATGGGTATCGAGTAGATCTAAATAATAAGAGAGATGTTGTCTTGTTCCAACACAGTAATGATTGGCATGCTATTGTGGTAATACAAATTAAATGGTTACTCCTCAACTAAAAATTGTATATCAATATTTTTATATAATATTTTTTTTATTTTTATATAAACAGATACCTGATGCGGGACAAGAATTTACAAAACATGAAATTATGGACTATTTTTTTATTACTGTTTCACAAAAGCTATCTGAGATATATCCTTGTTATTATAAGGTGAACATTTTTGTTTATATATTATTTTGAGTAAAATACTTAATCTAAATTTTACAATTCACTCATAGTTTTCCGCTGGTGAACATCAGTTTCTTGTGCGGCAATGTTTTGATCAGCTCAAATACTTAGTTGATATTTGTAAAATGGAAATAAATGTTCCACGCTTAACTACTACTGTTGATAAATATTCGGCGCTTTCCGAAATTCAAATAGACAAAATTTTAAAATATTATATGCTTATGAATGTTACACCTTTCAAACGAGGACAAATAGAGCCCATGGGATGTATTGATAAAGCCCTCACACGTCGTTATAACGGTATAAATAGGCAATTAAATTTGGATAACTTTGAAAGTGTCGAAGGTAAAATCTATTTTCAGATAAGTCTAAAAAATTACAAATGATAATTCGTAGGTTTAGAAAATATTGTCATCAATTTAAGCTCACCAAAAATTTTGAGCCGAGTTCTTATGCAGGCATCTCGAAAACTTCTTACCAGTTGTGTGGAACTGCGTCTGACACACAATAAAATAACTAATGCTAATGTGTCAAAAGTTTTAAATATAATGAGTAATTTAAAAGCTATAGATTTAGGGAACAACTGGATAGTAGATTTGGAGGACGTTAAGGAGCTTTCTGCGCTTGGATTGAAAACTTTACGTTTGGACGGTAATCCTTTGTGTACCAAATATTCATTCGCTGGCGAATACGTAAAAGCTGTTAGAAGACTCTTTCCGGAGCTGAAGAAACTGGTAAGTTTTCGAAATGATATATACACTATTATATGTGAGTTGCCTTTTATATTTTGAGGTTAGAGAACAGAAACAAATATTAATCATCAAAAATTGCTTTATTGTTTTTTAAAATATTCTCAATTAAGATCTATACACTTTTGCACCCGTTTGAACCAATCGTGGAAGCACTTTTTCCACTCTGATTGAGGTGTTTCTAAAACCTGCGTTTTGAACGCATCAAGCACCTCTTTAGGTGTCGAAAAATGTTTACCTCTTAGTTTATTTTTTACGGATATAAAAAGAAGTTATTCGGTGCTAACTTAGTACTATATGGTGGACGACTCATCAAATCGCTATTTTGAGTGCTCAAGAATGCAGTTGTTGTGTGAGGGCTCACATTGGCGTTGTGAAGAGTTATCCGTCTTCGGCGGTTGGTTTTCCAGATTTCTTGAAAGACACCTGGCAAACGCTCAGAATTTACTGTTCTGCATGGTTCTAATGGTATGGTTGCGGCATGTCCACTATTCGCCCACATTTGGTTCCTTCTGGATCGTTTTCCACCGATGTCTCTTATGGACCGTTTCCACTACAGTCGGGTCTACGTAACCGGAACGGACCCGGATTTTATCCGGTCAAGCACTGCCAACTCGGCAGTATTCTGCCGATACAACAACAACAACATGGAGATCTTTAAGGTGATCTTCCTTCCATCTATGGCTGAATTCATGATGAAGTATCTTAATTTTTCCCATTGGTCTATTAAATTGAGTGAGTCTCTTTCTGCCTCAGGTAGAGCTGTGAAATCTGAGGGATCTTGCGAGAGTGATGGGATGGGTCGTGAATTTAGTACGGCTTCTATACGAGCGAGTAGTGTAGTAAATTCCTCATAATTGAATTTATGATTACCTGCCGTTATCTTGAAATGGGACTTTGAGCTTTTTACAGCTGATTCCCGGAGTCCGCCCATGTGGGGAGAACATGGAGGTATAAATTGCCAATCGATTCCTTGTGGTGCATATTTTTTGACAATTTCTTGGGAGACTTCTTCAGTCAATTTTACAAACTCTTTCTCTTTGGCTCTTTGAGCTCCGATAAAGTTTTTCCCATTGTCGCTCATAATTTTTGATGGAAATCCGTCATCGATAGCCACATACCCGTTTCTGAATGAGGAAGACCCTAACATAGAGGCCCCTATCTGGAAAGGTCAAGCAAAATCAACCCCAGTAATGGGACGAGCAAAATTGCAGCGTTCAGGTGGCAAAGCTGTCATGATCTGCGTGCGTATTTTTTGCTTGTACAATGTGCATTGTTTACACATAAAAAACGTCCTTTTAATTTGTTGCTTTAGGCGCGGTATATAAAATTCTAGTCGGAGCATTTGTTGCATCAAACGATGCTCACCATGTAATGTAAATTGGTGAAGATATATTAGAAATAAATAAGTAAAACGGGATTTCTCAGGATGGAGCTATTTTATTGCGGGCAGACTTCTTGTGATTCTGTTAACCACGTAGGACCGTTCCACCAGAGTGTAGTGCTGGTGAGATGAAGTGGTTTTCAGCCTTTTGTCCCAAGATCCGCGTGATTATCTGCACCTGTTGCTTAACACGTTGCCATTGTGCTGAGGCAACGTAAGTCTAATATTTGAGATATGCGTATAAGTCTTCCAGGTATATGGTGGTCTACCTTTAGATATTTTTTCATATGGTACAGCTTCTTCCATATGATTGAGGTCAAGATATTCATCCATCCACATATTTTCATATGCTGATTTAAGCTCGCTTTTCTTTATCAGGTTTTTTTCCAAGCTGAGGAATTGCTGGACTGCTGATATTCTAGAGTGGCCTAGAGCTATAGTTTCTCAAACGGTGGGCTTGAATGGAAGTCGCACAACATAACGGCCATGTTCGTTTCTTGTTGTTGTGGACTTGTAGTAGGTTTCGCAGGCCAGATCTTCAGAAGGTTGTGTGATCTGGGGAATTCTTCTACTTCCCAGAATTTTTTGAGTTGCTTATTTATTCGTTTGAAATATTTTCAGCTTGAGTTGTGAAGGAATTAATTTTCTCTGTGACTTGGTCACTTATTATATAAATACATATTCAAAGATTGTGTTTAGGGCTAACAATTTATTAGAGATTTTCTCTATACCTTCAAGAATTATTTGAAGTATTAAGTCGCTGCTCAATAATATGTGGATTTGTTGTTGTTGTAACGGTTACCTAGTCCCCACTGGGGTGGTAAGTTTCAGTTTGGTTGTCGTCGAGATCATCTAACGGGAGGCCTAAGAAGCGAGCTGTTTCAACGGGGCATAGGACCATAAGGAAATGGGTGTTAGATGAGTGGAGTTCGTTGGGCATGCAAAGAGGTGGTTAGTGTCATGCGGAGACTCATTGCACGGAAGACATATATTTAGTATAGACACTAAGAGGGTGTCGGTGAATGTGTTGATGGCTCCACTGTGAATGGCGGTCAGTACTTGTCTAAAGTTCGTTGAGTCCGAAGTCTGATCGGCGTACTGTCTAATGTTGTCGACGTAATCAAGGAAGGACCTCTTGATGTTCCTAGGAGGCGGTTCCGCTTCAAGCAGACGACTGCAGGAGTGATCTCTACGAAAACATACCTGCAGAAACTGCTTGGAGAGGAGCTCTTTATGTTCCTTAACCGGAAGCATAGAAGGAGTACGGACTGTCTAATGTAACGCCTAAAATTTTAGGGTTGTTGACTGTCGGAATTTTGATGCCATCGACTGAAATATCTAGATCCAGTCTGTACTCCTTCGTCCAGTTTGTAAGATTCTTCCGCCCATTCACGAAATTTTAAAACTGGAATTTTTGACTGGCAATTTTATCCGATTCTGAGCCTTTGATAATATAAAGGCTATATGAGAGCCTTGATCTATTAATGCTCTTTATTTAAATAAATTTCGCTTATGTTCTATAGAAATGACCGCTGTGGGTAAAAAAATTTTACTTTTATTCTCTGAATGAAGAGCTTGAATTTTTGCTGCTTTTAAGCAACATGGGTGTTCCTCTTTATTATCAGGATTCTGAAGTTCGGAATTACCTGATTTGGTTGTCGCGACTAGGCCCGTGGTTTTATGTACATATGTGATTTTGCTTCATATTTGTAAAATTGGTTATGTGAAGCAATGAGTGATGTCGTTGACAGTACACACAACTGAATTTGCTTTCACAGTCTTTTGTCCTCTGAGAATTGGACAGACAGTTGATGCAAAGTTTATGTTGTTGGACAAGATTGTTTCTGTCTGAAACGGACATTTTTTTTAAATTTCTCGCAAGAAATTAGATTATGTCCTTTACAAATTTCACATAATGATTGCCAATGATTTGTTTGATTTGACACGAATGTTTGGCTTCTATTAACGTATCTATTATATTGTGTGTTATTACTGACTTGGGGTTTAAAAAAAGTTTTTATTTGAGTCATTTTGATGACCTTTTGGCTTAACTACCTTTTTGTCTACTCAGTCAGCTATTTCGTACTGAGTTGTTAAAAATTCTTTCATTTGATGCCATTCTGGCGATTTCTTTCTTGTCACTAGTGATTGCTCCCATCGTAGCAAAGCAGCATCAGGTAGTGTCGCTTCGCAAATATTTACTAGGATAGGGACCCACGATTCTGTGGATACATTATGTGTTTCTAACACAGATAAGCAATTAGTCACTGTCAAGTATAGTTTTTGAAATTCTTTGCTGGTTTATGTTGAAGTTTTGGTAAATTCATTAAAATAGTTATATGGTTATCTACCAATACTCTTTCGTTTTCGTATCTTTCGACCAGTAGATTCCAAGCCAGATTAAAATTTTTGTCATTCAAAGCGAAACGCTTGATAATACTGCCTGCTTCCCCTTTTGATTTGTACCTGAGATGGTACAACTTTTGTGATCGTGAAAGTTTAGGATGGTTGATATATCGGCAGGGAATGTGTCGCGGATCGATGGCCAATGATCATAACCTCCATGAAAAACTTCAGTATCACAAGCTGGTACTTTTAAAAATATACTTGATCTAGGTTTTCGTTTGGAATTGTAACTACTCTCGGAGGAGGAGTAGTGGCTCTACATGGCCTTAATAAATTTATTTGGTCTAATATCATTGCCTTCGTAGTTTCGTACTGGTCGAGACAGTTTTCATATTTGGCTGACGCCGATGCTTTAATGTTTTCTGGGAGTTCGGCGTCGTCAGTATCTAGTATTGTATCGTACGCTGCCAGCATATTATTTATGCTTTGAATTTTTAAATTTAGAACTGATTATTTATTGTCGTTAATATGAGAAGCCGAAAATCGTCTGCAGTATCCAATAAAACTATCATTTTCAGTTATGATCTTTGACACTGAATTGTCTTTGGTTCTTTTTTGTTTTGCACTCAGCTTTGAGCGTGAAGCTTCTGAAGGTGTGCCTTCTGCTTTATCATCATCAGCCATTTCTAATGATAGAGGTGTTCTTGGTTTAATCTCTTTTGATTTATCAGATTGCATTTATAAGAATGTTTTGAATTAAATAGAAAGCTATTAGCGAGCTATTAAGATGGTTTGTATTAAATTTTATAAAAAACATTGCTATAAGATTGTAGTAAAAATAATGTAGTTTTGCTGTCCAAAGCTGTAGTTAAAAAATTTATTTGTGCTGTTGAAAGCTTTGATTGTAAAATTAGTATATTGTAATTTTTGTTGTAACTTACAAAGTCAATTTAGATTTTATATCCCTATTATTATTATCATAAAATTTGCCGAAAATTGTTTGCTGGGTGTTCGTTTCACTCACGATCAACTTATATATTTTGTGTGTATGTATATTCGTTTTTATTATCTGTATCTATATACATTTGTTAAAAAGGAACGCGAAAATAAAATTGTTATAAACAAAAATTGTATATATATATTAGCATATATATGCATGTTAAAATTAATTTCCATATGTTTATCCGTGTTGTCCGTATACTTTTTAGTTATATAGGTATTATTACTATATATATATATATATATATATCCGTGTTGTCCGTATACTTTTTAGTTATATGGGTATTATTACTATATATATATATATATATATATATATATATATATGATTTTATATGTATATTTTTTAAAAGAATATGTAAGAGAAATGGAAGAGCAAAAAAGTTGGGTTGCGGTATATATGTAGCGCGGGAAATGTGCCAATGTTTAAGAAAATATGTGTACATACATAAATGTCGATAATTTTATTGTTTTTGCCTTTTCTTATATGTTCTAAGCGATCCTGCTTGTTGCTTTATTATCCCAAGGGGTATCACTGGAAATATTGCAAGTAGAAATACTTGACTTTGCAAAAAAAAAAATTTTTTTTTAAAGAATATAACGGAAATATAACATAATAAATATAGACACAAAATAAGCTAAGGCAGATACCGTATTTTTTTTTCTTTTTCAGTTATTTTGTTCGGTTATTTATTTCTACCGAAATACCAATAAAACTGTACACATACAAGTATGTATGTGCATAAAATGCCTCTATTTCCAAATTTAATTGGAATGGACTCACTTTTTTCCGCCAAAGGTTTTTGAGAGTGATACTTTTGTATGTGTGCTTCTTCTCGTTTTTCTTTGTTTTAATTTTTTTTTTCGGCGTCCTGTGCCTCCTCTCTGCGTGCTTGGTGGATTTAATTCCCGTGCTTTATGGTGATTGTTTTTAATTTGTTTGTGTTAGATCGCGCTCTTTTTCAATTCTTAGTGATTTTTTGTGTTAGTTTTGTATTTTTTTTATTGTTTTTTAGGTGCCTTTCAAAGAGGCTTGAAGTTCCATTTATTTACTCACTTAGCTTTTATTTTTTATTTAATTTTTTAATCCTTTCACAATTCGTTTAACAGGCCTATTTCAATTTCGATTCAAACAAATTCACTTCAATATTTTAAATATACTTGTTTGATGTTCCACAATTTTCCATTTTCACTTGAGGAAACACTTCACGGACAAACTGCGCTGCTACGTTTTCGCTTTACGAATGGGTGTTGAAAAAAGGGACCCATTCAGGTCTGAACAATCCTTTTTGTTCATTGGTGGTGAAAGAGACGATAGTTGAAGTGGGTGTATAGTGTAGTTGTGTTGGTGGGTGATATGGTATGTTGTATGTGGTGTTGTGTTGTATGATGTTGTACGTTCGGTTGAATGATGAGATGCAAAATGTCGCGGGATCAGAAGTCGGATGAACAACGCGAGTATGTATAACATCAAAAATGTCAAACTTTACGATAAAGCTGGGAGTTGCCAGATTGCAACAGTACGATTACCAAATCCCGAAATATAAAAGGCAACATACGCACTGTAGTAGTTATTGGACGAAAATATCATAGCTTATCGCACAGATTACAATTGTGTGGTTCACCTAATCCTTTAGGGAAACTTAAATGAAATCCCACACACATATTTAGTACACAAAAAATTCTAATAAATTCTCGGGTTTGAGTTTTAGTCTGAAAAAATATAATATTAAATAATAGCATTTGTTATGGGTTATTATTTACCTCTAAATCCATGTCTTTTTCTCCGAATTTGTTGCAAGAAAAGTCGAAATTACTTATGTTTAAAATGTTTAATATCGCATTAGAATATAACAACGGATGCCCACTTCAATCTATATTGAAAGTGCCTCTTTCAGAAACCAGTTTGGACCCGTCCGAAACAAGTTTGATCCTGAGTGTAAATATTTAGATTCTTTACTTTATTGACGAGATCGAAAATATACATCTTTGTCAACTTCGTAAATTTAGCCGCATGGGAGCTATTGGACCGTGCCCAGTCAGAACACCTACATTTACGGTGGAATGGACTTTTCTAAGGGCAAGTAATTCAGAAAACTTCTTACGGTTCACTTTGCCAGAAGGATCTCACAACTGTACAAGCTCTGGTTGTTGACAGGCGCTTGCCTAGATCCAACACCAGAGCGCAAAAGGATACATAGCAAAGATAAAGAGGTTTCCAATTTGATGAAATTGGTGTAAAAAGTCCTCTCTAGCAAGCTCATCAGTTTTGTATTTTCCGGCGATTTTCCTGTGACCGGGTACACAAACAATTCTAATACCGAATAAGCCTGATGCTATTGCTGTTGAGTCATAAACTCCTTGACTAGTTTTGAGCGCACAGTAAGTTAGATCAAAACCAGTATAGCCACCCTGCTATAGAAGTGAGTACACTTCTTTATTGAGGAAGCTGCAATTCGGAGCAGCACAGTACCCTGATGTGTGTGCGCAGAGCATCGGGGGCATATATGTTCTGCGTGCAATGAGTCCTCGGATGACTTTTACTACCTCTTTGCATGCTCAATGAATCCAAATAATCTAACAGCCTATCCCTATGGTTCGACCCCGTCGAAACCACAGGGTTCCTGGGCTTGCCGATAGATGCTTTCGATGACACATAACTTGCGCCTAGAAAAGTTTAGTCGAGCCTACCTAGGGTTTCGATAACCTCTAAATCCCAACAAATTAACGCCAACTTGCGGGTCGCCCCTATTTACTTGCCGAAGTGCCTGTGAACCACCCCGCTACGCCATAGCCGTTCTGTCACTAGAGGAGGGTTTGTTTCGACTTCAAACTTGTCAAGAGCTCCAATAATCCCCTCCGATCGTACGTTGTTGAAGGTCCCTTGGATATCACGACAAGTAACCACCGCATGGTTTTTATGCATGATGTGCCCTTAATAGCTTGTTCCTTGGAATTAGACCCCTAATGCAGGTCCATGAGACTTTCCGAAGTTTTCAATATAAATGAAGAGAGAGTGATACGCTAAAGCCCTCGACAGTGACGTGAGAGCTTTTTCCGGCCTTTAAGACAAATTCCTTATTCAGTAGGATCAGCGCTTACCGAAATTGTTCATCGGTTCTCTCAAACCTTATCAGCTCATCTGCGGCGTCACTTCCAATGAATACCCAATAAACTACCTCACTGGTCCTCAAGATCTCAACGAAGTAGCACGAATCCCTTCATCATCTGTAGAGGAATGAAGCTAACTGAACAGATAGATGATTCAACATTCGGAAAAATTAATGACGAAACTCCAATAGCAAAGTAGAGTTTTTTACAGTATTAATGATTGTTCCTATACGTTGTATAATGAGTTTAGTTAATCTTTGTTTTTACCTAAAACCTGAAATCACCGCATTAATATTTATGTATTTGCCAAATTGTTTCTTAATATCAGTTGCATTTCGAGGTAATATTTATTTAAATAGGTAATACCTATGGACTATTTTCACTGCGTATGCAATAAAATGCATCTAAATTCTACATCAGTCAACTGACAACGTATTGTATTCATCTTTCTTATGACCTTTTCTGCTGCTAACGCACCTTTTCGAAAACTGCTGTCTCGGCCGTCTTCGTGTGACGATCCTTAATATATTAATATATATATATTTCTTTGTGTATATACACTCTTTTCAGGATAACATTGAAATAAAAAATAAAGGTTACTTAAGCTCCCAGAAGAACTTCTTGTGCGATGTAAGAGGCTATGATTTTATTAATGAATTTGTACCACGGTTTTTCAAGTGTTTTGATTCTCATAATCGCTCAAGTTTGGAGGGTGAGTATCTGCATTACTCTTATATTGCTCATCTTATTTCATTTTTATTTTATAAATGATTTTATTTTTTAGAATTATATCATCGGAACGCAATTTTCACGTTTTCATTTAATTACATCATTGCTCAAATGACTTCGCAAAATTTTAAGCGGATATCTAAGTATCGTGAAAATTGTAGAAACATATTAAGAATTTCAGATCTTTCTCGAGCACACACTAGTATACATCTAGGCGCTAATCAAATCATGCAAGTTTTCTTTCAGCTACCTAGCACGCGGCATGATTTGTTGACCGTCAATACAGATACAATGATTTACAACGTATGTATTATATTATTTTGAAAAGAAATTTCAGATAAAATTATTTTATATCGACGTATGCCTTTCGAAATCAGAATGTACATCGAAATAAATGGTTTGACATTTTTTAATAAGTCCGTCTAAACTAGTTTCCGAAACTTTTTACATATTTTTCGTTTATGAAAAGAATACGAACATCCTTCAACAACAAGTACAATTCTTATCGTAGGGGATGGGACATGGAATGTGCTATTTTTAAATCCTATTACTAATACGATTGTTATGAATACTTATTAGTTTTACGCATGAAGGTAATAATGCGCTAACAGTAAAGTTTCACCTAACGGTTGGTTGTATCACTTAAAACTAATCGAGTTAGATATAGGGTTATATATATAAATGATCAGAATGAAGAGACGAGTTGAAATCCGGGTGACTGTCTGTTCGTCCGTCCGTCCGTGCAAGCACTAACTTGAGTAAAAATTGAGATATCTTTATGAAACTTGGTAGACATGTTTCTTGGTACCGTGAAACGGTTGGTATTGCCGATAGGCGTTATCGGACCACTGCCATGCCCACAAAACGCCATTAATCAAAAAAAAAATAAATTGCCATAAATAAGCCCCGCAATAAGATACAAGACATTTGGTACACAGGATCACATTAGGGAGGGGCATCTGCAGTTAAAATTTTTTTTTTAAAGTGGGCGTGGTCCCGCCTCTAATAGGTTTAATGTGCATATCTCCTAAACCGCTAATGCTATAATAACAAAATTCACTGGAAGCAAATGTTTTTAGCACTTCTATTGACGGTGTGAAAATAGTTGAAATCGGGTGGCTACTCCGCCCACTCCCCATATAACGGTACTGTTAAAAACTAAGCGATAAATCAAGCACTAAACACGCCAGAGACATTAAATTTTATTTCTGGGATGGTATGAGATGACTTTATAGGAACCGCGTTCAAAATTAGACAGTGGGCGTGGCACAGCCCACTTTTAGGTGAAAACCCATATCTTGAGATCTGCTTAACCGATTTCAACCAAATTCGGTGTATAACGTTCTTTTTATATTTCTATGTCATAGTGCGGAAATGGGCGAAATCGGACTACAACCACGCCTATTTCCCATATAACACCATTTTCAATTCCATATGATTCTTTCACTTTCCACTATGCATATCAAGCAACAATGATTATATCGGGGTAAAACTTTGCGTGAATAATACGTTTAAAGTATGCCACCTTGTGACCAAAGTTGTCTAAATCGAACCAAAACTGTTCAAGCCCCTAAGTACTAAATATGTGGACCCCAGTGCCTATAGTTGACCTTCTACCGAAAATATCAGTCAATCTACAAAGAAATCTCAAACGAGTATACCATTTGACTTTGCGAGAGTATAAAATGTTCGGTTACATCCGAACTTAGCCCTTCCTTACTTGTTATGAATATTAATGGGTAACAAATCCAAGTATACTTCGGGTGCATCATATTTGAAACTATGATGACAAATTTTGATTTTTGTTTCCTTCTTGATTGAACTACATTGTTTAGACGTACATAAATAAAGGCTTCATTCAACATCGCAAATAAGAATTATTATAGTTGCTGATAAGAATTGTATTATGGGGTTAGGTGTAATCAGAGACATGAAAAAATTAAAATTTTATATAATTTTATTGCCACCCAATTATTTTACTTTATATAAGTAAAAACATGGCATCATTAAATAAGGTTCCGACTTGACTTGACAGAAATTTGAAAAAAAAATATAATTTTAAAAGTAATGGCTGTTCGTGTTAATCCAGTTCCAACCGAAGCTTCTTGCCCTGGCTGTCACTAATCCTTGAAAATTCATCTTAATTAAATCGGACAAAAAAAATATTGTAGTTTTATTAACAGATAATCAAGGATCCTCAGGAAGTTTTTTTTCCAGATTTTCGGGAAGAAACCAATAGTTAATTGTTTATAAAATAATTTATATTAAAAAGGTATCCTTAGATGAAACACTAGTTTTTTATGTTTTCAAAAACTGTATAAATTTCATTGAAATCTACCGAGCGGCTTTCGACCGACAATGTTCACCAATTAAAACAACATTGTTTTGAGAAAAACGGATTTGAAGTTTTACACTTAATTAACATACGTAGGAGAACCCTTTGCTAATTATCGAATAACTCGAAAAGTATTTGTCGGGCTTACTCCAATATTTTAGAGAATATTTTAAGGAAATGTAAATTTCTGCTTGCATCTAATATCATTGCTCAGATGACTTCGAACAACTTATGTTCTTAACATTTTATTGTTAATATTTATTTCTTTGTTTTACTTGGATTACATGGATGCCATTTGAAGTAAAGGAGACCATATATTGTTATATGAGATATCAAATTTATAGAGAATTAAGAAGATGTTGAGCTCGAAACTTACTTAGTTCTTATATAATCTTGTGCTCATATAACATAATTAAGTCACGCTACTAATAGAATGAAAGGTTAATCGAAGCAACTTTTTTAGTACAGAAATGAAACTTAATTTTACAAAAAAAATGGAAGAAATATTATTCAATTCAAAACAGAAAGCATATTTGTTGTCTAAATTGTAGCTTAACCTATACAAAATGTTGTGCTCTTATAATTAAGTCACCTGAAGAAAAGTGTAGTTATTCGAAGTATACGGCATTTTCTTGAAATTCTACCTTACTTAAAGCTAATATTTAGTTGGATATCCTTTATTACGTAGCACTTAGGTACATTGCATCGGCATAGTTTGGACTTAAGTAAGGAGCGGGATAAATATAGATTTCCATCATTGTCGCATACGTTAATTTAGATTCATCTTTCGACACTACCAAGTTCCAAAATTTGGTGTCCTTCCAGAGATGGTCTTTAGCAAACGCTTTTCGCGGTTTTGATATTTTTTCCCGACACATTAGATTTTACAATTTGCGCTGATATTTGTACACCATGGTAATCCTCTAATAGAGCACTGATTTCAGTATAAGTCAAAAAAGGAATCGATTTGGTCAGCCTAACCAAGGTCCTATCGTCAGATTGGGTGGTCTTTTTTCGCGAAAAAATTTCAGAAGTTTTATTTTTTTCATAAAATTTACAGCTTTATTAATTTTACCACGGGAAACCCCTGAAACGTCTGCAAAAAGACGTTTTAGTAAAAAAAAGAACCATATTGATGTAAAATGTGGTGAAAAAAATTAAATTTACCCGTTTCAAACGAAATTATTAAAATTAAAAATGAATTATGTGACCACAATTTTATTGAAAAAAAAATTAAAAATTGATAAAAACTCTCCGAAATAAAAATACTTTAATGCGATGTAAATCGCCAACGTTTCCAGAATAATGGAAATTTTTGCTCGCGCAATATCAAGCATGTTAGATAAAAAATATGTTTTTTGTTTTAATATTGTAAAAAATTACTGAATGACTTAGTTATAGGAGCCCAAGTATACATATATCCAACATAATACTCCGCAACCATGTTAATTTTTTAATATATTATATTTGACAGGAAAATATGGTAGTAATAACAATAAATGGAGTATTTTATGATCAAGCTCCCAGTGTTGTGGACAACGACATATTGATGTCATTTACTCGAACATTTGTTCTTATACCGATGGAAACGAACCTTGTATGTGGAGTTATATGTATATTATTTCATTGCAAAACTTTTATAAGCCTTACATATTATTACAGGGTATTCTAAACAGAGCTATCAAGTATCAAATTGTAAATGAACAACTAAGTATATATAATCCCACAAGCCAACAGTTTAAAAGCACATTCAAATACTTTAAGAGTGAATGCCAAGAAGACAATGATGCTGTGACAGTATCAGATAAGGAAGTTCTCATAATAATATTCCAAGAAGTAACAAAACTCAAATCATTGTGGTGTATTCGGTAAGAAAATGTATTAACGGGAGACTAGTAAGCGAATAATGAAAAATACAAGTAATAATAATGTACTTTTCCATAAATTAGCTTCTTGGAAGATGCCAAATGGAATTTTAAAAAATCGTTGTTGATTTTCTTAAGTTTTTCTGACAATAAAAAAATACCAGAGACTGCTTTTAATTAAAGTATACATACTGTTCTAATTTCTATAAAAATATGTGAAGAATTCTGTGTATTAATTGAAAATAAAACATTAAGTAACAGAGATGATAAATAATTGTATAATATTTCATTTGAAGAGGTTCTCTACTCTAGAATTAAAAAAAAATCCATTTATTATATATTTTAAAAATTCAAAATATTATCGGAGATAAAGGTATTTTGCTGACCCGGCATCCAAAGTGGTTCGGCCGAAACCGAATCTTTAAATGCGTTTTTCTCGAAACTCTCTTTTTCAAAACGATACCCACGATTTTTCAGATTCTGCTGGACCGATTTACCTGAAATTTTTAGAGAGTATTTTTTATAGACTTGTCTATCTCTGGACTATCCATATCCCACAAATTTCAATTTTTACTATTTTTAAAAAATTCGAAACAGTCAAAGAAAGAGGTACAAAAATAGTATTTTATTCAGATTGTCGTATTTTTGTTCAGATTGTATAAATGGATACTAAAACCTTTTGAAACCTTTTGTTACGATACTTCAAAAATTACCTGAAATTCATTCATCTAAACTGAAACAACCCCTTTGAGGTTGAGTAGAGTTAATTCATGTAAAGAACGACCCTATTATATGAATTTTTTTGTTGAAACAGTTAAACAGTAAGTACCTTCTAGAATAAAATTTCAAAAACATTCTGTTAAATTTTTATGCGCCTCATAGCTCGGAGCAGGATCATCTGAAATGAAAAATCCCAACTATATAATTAGACAATGGCTTTGCCCAGGTAACGCTAGGACTTGTTTTAAGGAATTTAAATTTTACTTTTTGGGGACTGTATTTTTTTTGTGAAAAAATCTATTATTTTGTTAATGTAAAATGAAAAATATTAACAAGATAATACAAACTCTCCGGCGTTACCTCGTAATTTATGTATAGAAATAGTGAGGGGGGGTAATACAGTAAATACTGGTAAAACTGCGCAGTTTGCACTGCTGACTTTATGCTGGCTGATGCTCTTGCATGAAACAGCTCATTTTCAAACAAAATTTTTTTTAAAAATCGTGTAAAAAAAATAAAATTAATTAATTTAGAATAACTTTAAAGTCAAATGAATTAGAGTGAAAGCATTAGTGCACTTTACGCAATCTCATTCTACAATATCCTACAAAATTAAAAAAAGTTCACAAATATAATAAAACAATAATATTAAAATTATATTCAACATAAATAAATTACAATGACATTTAAGTTGGTGTTGGTGTAATTTTTTGTACAACTTATTTTTAAATGTTGCAAATTTCGCACGTTTTTGCGCAACAGCAACGGCAGTGATGCTTTTTCGGACTTTTAATTTTGGCACAGATGCCAGGTTTGCTTTTTCGAACTAGTTGCATAATGCATTCTGCGCAGTTTGCGTTACCGAAAACGCCCAGTATTCAAAATTTCAAACCGACTTTGAAAACGAGAGTTGTGGGGTAAACAATTTAAAGTTTGAAAACCATTCAAAAGGCAGCTATAAAAGTACTCGTATCATCATCAATTTTGCTTCAATTACAAAAAAACATAAAATAATGTATTTAACTTAGTCATTTAAAACTTTCGTACTACTGTCATCAAAAAGTATGGTGAGGCGATTATCGTGGTGTGTTGCACTATGAATTTCTTCCGCCGGGCCAAACTGTCAACAAAGAATACTATTCGAGCGTTATACACGTTTGCGTCAAGCTATTCGTCTGAAACGACCGGATTTATGGGCGAACAACTTTTGGTTCTTTCATCGCGATAATGCAACTTATTATAATACACATACGAGCAGCTGCTTTCGCTAATGAAAATTACTGTTTTTTGTTATTTGTAAGCTCCGAATCGAGAGTAACTCTGGTAATTTATCTAGATTTAGATATATTAAAACAGAAGTGCATGTGTTATTTGAGCAATTGTGGCACAGCACGTTTTGGATACCATGTCTTAAGTTAGCTATGTTCAGGTATTGCATAACAATCGACAGCAATAGAGTGTAAAGCACATTTACTAAACAAATCGACGTTAGCTTTAATAAAGTTAATCGAGTGTGGTGGATCAGTGGAGCTAGCCCGCTTCTGATACATATTCATCATAATACCTTCACCGCGGTCATAAATACTTTCCGTTGAGATATCGTTATGAAATTTTTACCAAAAATCTAAAAAAAAATTTTGAAATATATAGTAAAAAAAATTGATAGCATCGGTCTACTACATCCTATAGCTCACGTAGCACGGCAATTGCAGTTATAATGCTAAGAAAAATACTTCTCATGGTAGCGGAGCGACAAAACTTTCAAATATGAAAGTGGGAAAAAAGCCATCCAATAGTCATGCTCCACCTACAAGAATAATATCATACCAAAAATTCATGTAGGAAAAAGGCAAATTATATACCAATTTAATACATTAAATTTTACACAGCCTTTATATTTATATCAAAAAAGTATTATGTCTCCTCTAGTAAACCGGACGGATTTGAAAAAAAATTTCTGGCCACATTACCAACGTTTCTTTTCACGTTTTGCTTTAAACATTTAGCTAAGTAATTCATATAGTTAGGAATTGCCCCTCATAACCATTTAGAAGAGAATGATTCACTTAAGGCGTTGCATACTTTGGCATCCACCATAGTCAGTTGTAAATTATGCTCAACAAATATCTTCCTATTGTACATAAACTATTCTGTCGGCTTGAGTTTATGTATTTTCTTCTTAAAATATTTTTTCTCTTCGATTGAGAGTTTGATTGTCTCTTTTTTAAACTGAAAACGAACTGGTCTCCAGAAAAGTGTGGTTGTTGTTGCCGATGGTTTTTCCAAATTATTGTATGATATCTTTTTGAAATGTACGTATGATGTAACAAATAAGCTCTTGCCTTCTAAATCATCATTTAAAAATTTTGTTTGTACTCACTATGGCCCGTACTTCCATCAAATCCCCATTTTGTAATTAGTGTTAAATTTTCAATTGATTCACCCGTGATTGATTGGACTACATTCCTTTGTAGCTCCAATATGCTCGATGCTGTATTGTCTAATAAATTTTGCAACTCGACTCGACTTAAGCATGAGATTCGTCTACAAGAATATTCTCTGGGTATCTCTTTTTTTTTGCAATTACTATACTGTGATAGCTTGGAAATAAATCAGAATATTTTGGTATTTACGAAGTTTCTTATAGCGGACTCATCTATTTCTGTGAGGTGAGTTATGCGCCATGGCTTTGTAGCTCCTTTACATTTAGACAATCATAATGGTATTGGAGGTGTGAAGATTTTTTGCGATCATAACGAGTCCAAAACCCAAACCTTTTTTACGTATGTATGTAGCCAATCGATTTAAAAACTTTTGCCAATTCAGGTATTGAGCCATTATTCTCAATATCATTGAACAACGTCGATCACTTCCTGTAATTTCTTTGGATTGCTATCCTTTTTTGTACACCATAAATTAAAAATATGCAATCGTGAATCGCCTTTGAGAATGAAATCAAAAATTAAAAACAAATACCTATTATTTTTAATAATATTAATTAAATAAACATTGAAATATGTAAGGCATTAGTATTTTGACTATTACAAATACATCCGCAAATTTCCGCACCTAACTTGTAACACTTTTACTTTAAGACTCATCCATAAAAAATAAATTTAATTTGTTAAACAACAATACAAAATCTTTTTTTTATACTCTGTCCTTTTATGCCCTCTGCGATTGACAGGCACCTTGACGTGGAGCAGAGGCTTATATGCTTATGATCTTGCACAGCCCTTCTCAGACGGGTTGTTAGAGCCGTATGCGTGCGATGTCCAAGACCTGCCATATCTTAATTCATGGTGTTATGCGACACCCGTACCCATTGGATGATTTGCAGCTATAAAGTAAATTCGAACAGAGTATTCCCATCACCAGGCCATCTTGAAAAGTATGAGCGGCACAGTATTAGCAATAAAAAGACCTAATGTGTCCTATACGACTAGCGCAGAAGAAAAACAATTGCACTCTTAGTTGCGCATTTCCCGGAGAAAATCCGGTATGACCAAATTCCACCAGTGGGCAGACATAAGTCAGATCGTTTTTATTGGGCAGTTGAAAGGCATTTTGTTACTGCGGACTAAAAATATAAGCGTCCAAGCGCGGTCGGCCTCTTTCCAGCACTTCTACAAGAGGGAGGGCAAGTCCTACTGCTCAACATTGTTAAACTGATGAGAGACAGCCTTGCCATGGCATACATGCCCAAACCATGGAGAATAGCAAAAGTAATATTCACACCTAAGTTAGAATGGAAGAACTGGTTTTGCCAGTTAGTCTCACTTCCTTCACGTTACTAAGAAGCATAGGAAAGATTATAGACAACAAAATAAAATCGAAGACGCTGAAGATCGTACCCCTACACACATATTAGAATGCTTACATAGCTGGCAGGTCCACTAATACTACTTGGTACCAGCTAAGAGCGGGAATCTAAAGTTCGTTGGGCATCGAAAGTGCTTTTGACAATGCTTCTCACGCAAGTGTAAAACAGCTCTAGAAAAGAGGAATGTGGAAGCTCCAGTAAGCAGATGGATAGAAGTCGGACTGCGCATTAGGAAAGCTAAAACCATTATAGGGGAAAGCAATATTCGTCTTGGTATAACGAGAAGATGTCCTCAAGGTGGGTTACCATTCTCTACAAGGCTCTAAAGTATGAGCGTTTTCGGTAATGCAAAACTGCGCAATTTGCATGATGCAACCATGTCGAAAAAGCAAACCTGGCATCTTTGTCGAAACTGAACTTCGGAAAAGCATCACTGTCGTAGCTGTTGCGCAAAAACTCACAAACCTTGCAACATTTGAAAAGTAGTTGCACAAAATATTACAACCAAAACCAGGTGCTAGGCAAAATGTGTTTGCATTCTTTATGTTAAATATAATTTCAATATTGTTTTATTATCTTTGTGTGTTTTTTTATTTTATAGGATGTAGCAGAGAGATTGCGTAAAGTGCACTAAAGCTATCAATTTGGAATAATTCGTTTAACTTTAAAGTCTTAATTAACAATTTTTCTTGTCACGATTCATTCTCTGATGTGCAAATTTATGCGGCTGATTTTTTGCATGAAACTGAAACCTGCGCATTTGAAAATTTGCATTTTCAAACATAAAAATGTGCGAAATACTTATTAATACACTCACTGACAAGTTACATAACAAAGATTATCAATTCCTATCAGAAATGTACAAAAAGAGAATGAATAATGTAAAAAAAAAATTATTAATTGCGAATAGCTCAAATCAAATTGATTATTCCAAAAGTTATAGCTTGACGCAATCCCTTGCTGTTAGAGCTATATATATAATATATAAACTATAGTATATCGATAGTTTTATATTCGTCTGACTATCGATAGTTTATTTTGGCTATCCATTTTTAAAATAATATACAAATCATTAAATTTAACTATTATTTACATTTTAATTAGGTGTTGGATGCGTTAGAAAGAATGTTACGGAAATAATAGTTATTAATAATTAGGTAAAAATTTCAAATTTTCTGAAATGCCGTTTGTCCATAAGTTTTCCAGTATTTTAACAATAATTAGGAATTGTAAAGAAACCTCCATTTTATTTAGTACTCCTAATAGTACAAACTGATGTTTCAAATCCTTGTTAAAAATGATAATAAAGATCAGAATACGAAAATGTGGTGTAATGAACTGGACACATAAATAGCACAATCTAGAAAAATAGGGACAATTTAGTTTAAATTGCATTTCTATAAAATTTTTTCCGCCAAAAATTTTTTGTTGTAAATGTTTCTT